ACCTTAATACTTTAGCCCACGCATAGTAATTATATTGGCAGTATATGACTTTATTCTATTAAGTGAAATAAAGATGGTTTTATTGATCTTTCTAAAAGCAGACTTATGGCTGAGGTGTCTACTTAATATGAGGACTAGGTTTTTAAGAAAGTTTTAATTTTATTATTAAATTTACTTTGGTTCATATTATCTTAGCTAGCTTTTACTATTTTAAATGGTAAGGATGTTAATTAATTAGATATTTTTGTAGTTTAAACTTAAGGTATCACTAATAAGAATTATCCTTGTTATGATTGTTGGCTTAATAAGTCTCTCTATAGATTAAAACAAACTTTCAAGCATGGTTTCAAAAATTGATACATTTCAATTTCTCACTTTCTAAGGATGATACTTCTTTTTTATATACTATATATCTTATTATCTTGGTATTGGTTTATATTAATAATATCCTCATCACAAGGAATAACTTCTTGATCTCTTTTTTCCTAATAAAATTCATGCCATACTTGCTCATAGTTTTCATTACTCGAGTCTTTATGCTTGCTATTCACCTTACGGTATTGATTTCATACAAACCAAGTATGTCAATGATCTTTCATCATAAGATATATGAAGTAATTTGAAGGTTATCTTATACCAATGAGTGAAAATCTTGTATAAACCAATCATTTAAGGATTATTTTGATTAGTATGCTTTTTTTAACTTATCTTGATGTTGCTTTGTTGTCCACAAATTGTGTCAACTTTTTCATGTCCTAACTATGATCATTAATCACAATATGTTTTGAGGTATCTTAAAATTGTATTCAGTCATTCTCTTATTTTTACTATATATATATATATTTGTTATTTTATATATGTATGTAGGATTATAAATTGAATTTGTTTTGTATCTTAATAATAGTTTAATCTCCTTGGTAAGTTAAAAAATAATATCCCGCTACAAATATGATTGTTGAAATCATTTTTATGAAATTTTTTTCACTATGTGAGCTTGGTACTTTAGTTGTTTTCTCCTCCTATTTTATAGTGTCATAATATGGTAGAATTTATCTTATGGTAAATTAGATTTTTCATATTTGATCAAAATATATATTGATTTCTATTTTGTTTAAAACTAAGTGGCAATAAAAAAATTTATATTCAAATAACTTTCTTTAGTTGACCAAATTACGTATATATAAAATTGCCAAAAGAAAAAAAGATTTATTCATTTGATTTCAATAGAAATTTCATTTTATTTCTCAAATGTTAGTTCGTGGGGGATATTAAAATGTCCAAAAAATACAAGATATTATATAAGTAATTTTTTAGGAAAAGAAGTCCTCAACTCATAACAAGTAGAGGAAGATTATAATTCAACTCCTAAAATATGGTTACTTTAGAGCTTTTTGTTTGATTAGATCGAAAGACCCAATAAATTGGGATCTTCCTATTAGATCAAGTTATTTTGAAGCAAAAAGATCATAAATGATCTCTCCGATATAGTTAAGAAAATATGAAGTTCTCTTTTGCTTTAATTTTTTGTTTTGTTTTTTTTACTTGGTTAGAATGATCAAACTTAGGAATGATATTTTATATCTACACCCTTTTAATATGACAAAATCCGATATTACAAAAGTACAGGTTTTGATAGGGTAGGACTTGGATTGATAGAGAAAGACGGATGAATTCGAGTTTGGTCTTCTAGAATCCATACGAACCCAATCTACTATGTATATATATTTTTTAATTTCTTACTATTATTAATACATTATACTTATATAAACTAATAAAATATATTATAATAATAAATATAATTATATTTATATTGATAAATATAATTAATGTTATATATATTAGTAAATATATTTTAAATTAATCATATAAATATAATTACACTTGTATCAATATAAAATAATTGCGAATATCCAAAAAGATAAAAATAATAATAACTAAGTTAGGGGCGGGTTTGGATTTACTTTTTTTAGTGGTATGTCGGGTTTAGATTTAATAAAACCCGCTCAAGCTTGTCCTTTTGCCACCTCTAATCAAACCCTTCCTTGCTTGGCGAATGAATCAAATTATGAAATCCTTTCCAAAACCACTTCTCATGTAGTTGTTGAAAGATAAGGGTAAATTTTTTAAATGAGACTGAGATGGATAAATACTAAAACTAGCAAGATGTTATTGTGTTGTTATAAGTTTGAAGAGAATCCTCGGTTTATAATCAAGAAATAATAAAATTCTTTTGTTTTATAGACTTTATCATATTCAGTTGTAAGAATATATGTGTGTCATTTTAATGAAGTGATTTTCAACGGAAGAATGCAGATTATTCATGAAGAATCATAGCAATTCACTAATTTTAACGAAGTAATTTCAGTTTTAATCTCAAACTAACAATTATAAGATAAATATTCAGAAAACTCATTTTGTTTATCATGTTTTAAGAACCTGACAATATTAATTTTAATATTGAGAAGTACATTATTCTAATAAAAAATGAACAATAGATATATTAATTTTAATATTGAGAAGTACATGATTCTAATAAAAAATGAACAATAGATATATTAAATTATAATTTGTCTATGAAACTAGCGTACATATAACAAAAGAACTTGTAGTGATGATCAAGACATAACTTTATAAAATTTCATAGTTGAAGTGTTGGATAAGTAAAACAAAGATGTTGATAGATATATGGCTCCTGCTGTAATATCATTCTATTCGAATTCTCAAAAATCTGCAGTATCTGTAGTGTGTGTGTGTGTGTGTGTGTATATATATATATATATATATATACAAGTATCAAAAGGCCTCAATAATTTTATGGTAACCCTCTCAATCTTTCCAAAATCATAACTAACAATTACTTTGTTTTGTAAGATCAGATCAGAAAATAATAATTAAAGTTACTAATCCTGTTATCAAAGTAGATACAAGGCAAATGCAAAGTAATTTCTAACCTTGGCATATATAACACGTAAAGTACTGAAATAATTTTAGGGAAAGAATTAAGTAGTTATTTAACCTACTGCAATATTAATCCGTGCAGGGTAATCGATGAAGCTATGGAATTTAAAACTGATTAAGCATGCGAACCAGCACCCATATAATTCATGAGGTATGCATGCAAGTGGAAGTTATGTGTGTATATATGTATATGTACATGCACTTGGTCTTTTTGGCAGGACCCTTTTATAGCTGCAGTAGGTTGTGCAGATTTCTTCCTCTCCCTTGTGATAGGAATTGAAGCAAGTATAGTTTCATACATACATATATATATATATATATATGTTAGAAAATTTCCAAATTTTAATGGTCAACCAGAAATTAAATACCAAAATTTGAAATTGTCAGATCCTGTACGTATGGGAATGAATAGATACCGACAATAAAAAATTATAATTGATAAGATATACTATTCACAATTTTCAATTCAGTTAACGAAAATAGATGTAATTTTTTTTTTTACAATTATATTCGACTTTTAGATACTATTTTGGGAGTAAAATTATAAACGAATTATGTCAATCTGGAAGGTTGCACCACCCTTAAGATCGCCAAATAATAAAATTCACTCTTTAAAAAGCAAAAAAATGATGCATATATTATTACTGTTTCAGAAGTCGTCAACATATACATACTTATATATATATATATATATACACACACACACATACATAATGTAGGTCATTATAATTTGGATGATTACATGGCAGGATAATATTGGCTAAAGGGATTGTATTTTCTTGGATAGCGGGACCCACAATTATGTGGCATGGTGATGTTTGGTGTGAATGTACATGGGCATTTACGTGCACCAGTTAACAATCTTATACGTGACTTTGTCTTATCTGCATGCTCATATTACAATATTATTAATATATATATTTTGTCGTAATGTATATCTTCCCTAATAATCAGGACCACTGTATCCTTAATTAGTAACACCTGAATATTCTCTCTTTTTTTTTTTTTTTGACATATTTTGTGCTTTTAAAAAAATATATTTTGTCGAAGGCCCTTAATTTAGATTATATCTATGACTATACGTACATGTGTATCCAACATTCACTTTTTATTTTTTGAAATATTTCATTAACTAGGTTATATATATATATATATATGTATGAATCTGATTAATAAAAAGAAGCACTAGAACCCAAAACACATGAAGAGACAAAACTCCGTACAGAAAATTAAAGTTACAAATATGAGAATAGTAACTTTCATATATATATATATATATAGTGGAACAAAATTGTTTATATGTTGGAAGCTGTAATTATTATTTTTTAAAAATTATTTGGAGTACTTACTAAATGTTCTAGAATGGTAAACGACTTAGTAGACTCTATAATTATGATTGCTTCATTTTAAATTTTATATTAAAAATTATTGGGATTGAATTTAAATTTTATTTATAACATTTGTCAGTTCATTATATTTTGAGGAAAAGTTATAAATTTTTATGTATTAATTCGTAAATAGTAGACAAGAATTTATGCGAAAATAATTAAGAACGTGAAAATTATGAAAATTTTTATAGATAATTACATATTATATATATATATATATACACACACATACACACAAATACTCAGAAGTAAGCCAATTAATACATATATGGGTGTATATATACAACAGCAAGTACAAGTCATAAGAAAATGCGTAATACAATATGGAAGACAAAAGAAGGATTTCTTGAGTGACAGCACATAGTATTAAAAAGGGTTAATTAATTTGTACCTTGAATGCGAAGGTCCATGTTAGGTGAGAGCTTCAAACACACACAGTCTCTCCTAATTATTTTCTTGGCATGCAGCAGCCGGAAGCTCAATTTCTTCTCGTATATATTTCTAGTTGTGCAAGAAACCCTAGCTAGCTACCTTCATATTCGAACTGCGTTACAGAATCCCACAAGTCACCCCTTCAATCACATTAAACCTTTATATTTCTTTTCTTCCTCTTCATGCAAGTAAGCTCTCTACTTACTTATTTACCTTCTAATGATAACTTTTATTTCCTTGTCCTTCTCCTTCTCTTCCCAGCTACTTAGGGAACCAAATTAAATACCAGAAACCTCTTTCTGTCAATACCCTTTTTCAAAAAAAATTTCTGGAATATCTGGGATTTTTTTTTTTTTTTTTGGAATTCATTTTTATGTGTCATGTTGTTGTAGTACAGAAAAGTAACAACAGCAAGATAGGAAAGAAAGAAAATCTGGTAAAGAAAATGGAAGCAGGTGAAAGAAAGGAAGATCAGAGTTTACCTCCAGGATTCCGTTTCCATCCAACAGATGAAGAACTCATCAGTTTTTATCTTGTTAACAAGATTTCAGATGCTACTTTTACAGGCAGGGCAATTGCTGATGTTGATCTCAACAAATCCGAGCCATGGGACCTTCCAGGTATACATATACATACATATACATAAATAACTTACAATACTAATTGTATAGCTTTAATGAAAATGGTCCTTTCTACTTTTGGTATTTCAGTTTTTTTTTTTTTTGTATATTTATTTACCCATATACTCCTTCAACTTGTTTCTGTTTAATTATCCCGTAATTTCTAGGTTTCTAACATGATTTAAAGAACTCCTGTAAAATTGTGTAATTAGTGCTTTTCTACCACTTAATTTAATAGTACATGAATTTCTAAACAGTATGGTGAATATTGTCGTCTCATCATCAATAACAAGTCATAAAATTCAATGAATTTAATGAAAATTTAAGCTTCCGTGCATTAACCCGTGATTTTAATGATTTCAGGTGATTACTCATCGAAACACACGCGCACATATATCTCCATCTCCAACTTGTTTCTGTACTTATCACGCTTTATCTAGCTTTCTTGTTTGAACAAAAGTATCGTACATTAAATATTGCAGTCTCATCATTAACCAGTCATGACTTCAGTGATTTAATGAAAATTTAAGCTTCCATCACAAACAAATGTCTTAGATATATCATATATTTGCTGTGTGAATGTGCAGGGAAGGCAAAGATGGGAGAAAAAGAATGGTACTTCTTCAGCCTGAGAGATCGAAAGTATCCAACAGGGGTTAGAACAAATAGAGCCACCAACACTGGGTACTGGAAGACCACTGGAAAGGACAAGGAGATCTTCAACAGTGTTACATCAGAGTTGGTAGGAATGAAGAAGACTCTAGTTTTCTACAGAGGGAGAGCTCCTAGAGGAGAGAAGACCAACTGGGTCATGCATGAATATCGTATTCATTCCAAATCTGCCTTCAGGACTACCAAGGTAACTTTAGCATCCCCCTTCTCATACTGTGCATTTCAGGTCACTATATATAATATATACATATAAATATATATATGTGGAGAAAGAAAGTCGTTAGATTGAATTAAATCTAATTTGGTTGTCATTAATATTTATTGACTAAGGAAGCACAATCCTTTTGCTGTTGTAGAATATACAGAAAAAAACAAGTCTTTTTGTTGCTGGATCATTGCATTTATGTCGAGTACAGCTTAATTAATTTGTATATATTATTATAAATGATTATACTAGCTAGCTTGTCTTGGTTTTATTGAGGAAAAACGTTTCAAAAGTAAACACAATGAATCAACAATGATAAGTTGATTCATATCAGGGCTTACTTCGTTGAATTATATTAAATTCAAATTGGCAAATTAAGGATCCGTTAAAGATTCTTAAAAAGATTTCGCATGTCATGCTTCGTGTCAGTCAATACATTAATGAGCAACTATATATATAGTAGTAATTGAAGAGTTAATTACCATATGCATATGTACATACTTAGACATATAATATAATATATCAGATCATCACCCGAAGGCCATTACGTACATGCATATTAAAAGTTCTAATTATATGAAGCGAATAAGTAGCAAATAGACAAAACTATACGCAGCGAGATCTTTCCTCTACGTCAATGGAGACAATACTGTTTAATTACCAATCTAAATATGGAAATGAATGTATAAAGATATGTATCTTTTTTTTCTCTCTCTGGTAGATGAACAAGAAATCATTAAACTACGCCCACTAGCCTTAAAAAATGATCCTCTTGGTAAATTGTGCATAATTTCTGGAAGTTTAAACGTATAAATAGCTATATAGTCTTTTGTTTTTTATAATGTAGAGAGTTTGTTTTTGACTCGAGGAAATTAAGGTTATATAAATTGACCATAAACTCTAACACGTGTTGGGACATATATTTTTTCAGCAGGATGAATGGGTAGTTTGTCGTGTATTTCAAAAGAGTGCTGGCGTGAAAAAATACCCAACAACAAGTCAATCAAGATCTGTAAATCCCTACAATCTGGAAATGGGAACAAGCGTAATCCCGCCAGTGATGCAGCAGGCAGCAGAAAACTATCATCACTTTCCAATGGGAAGAAGCTACATGCAGACCAACGCAGAGCTGGCTGAGCTTTCAAGGGTATTGAGAGGTGCTTCAAGCACTTCTTGTGCATCTTCTAACCAGCTACCTATACAATCCCATATAAATTACCCTGGAGGAGGAGGATGCTTCACCATTTCTGGCTTGAATCTGAATCTTGGTGGGGCAACCGTGGCACAGCCTGTTCTGCGGCCAGTGCAACCGCCGCCACCGGTGAATCAACAGGACGTTGCTGCAGCTTCCATGATGAATAGTACTAGTACTTCTTTTGCCGCGGAGAATGTGTACGCGGCAGAAATAAACAGTGCAAATGGACCTAGCAACAGGTTTATCAGCATGGACAATTGCATGGACTTTGACAACTTTTGGCCTCCTTATTGATGGACTTGCAAATTAGATTAAGATAAATTAAGGTCGTGTTAGAGTAGATAAATTATGTTTTAAGTCGGATATTTTCAGCTTCTTTTTAATCTGTTATCAGATTGGGTTAACTACCCATCTGTTAGACAAATATTTTTGCTCATCCAATATCCTGCTTGTAACACAATCAGTTCACTTATCTTTTGGTTTTTATACCAAGTGTAATTTCTGATACATACAGTTTTCTAGTTTGTATTGTCGGAGAATTTGTATAAGCTGGATCATGCGTGATATGGTCGTTCTCTCTCTCCCTATACATTCATGAGTAAACTTCAAAACTGTTAGGAAATTACTTTTTCAAATAAGATTTTCATCTTAGAGCAGTCAAGTAGTCTGAATCAACCATACCCATACATTTTTTTTTCGTGATGAAGGTAGAACTCACCCCCATAAGAGTTGAATCACTCTAGAAGAGTGTTAGGGTATAATGTACAAGCTGTAAACAGCTTGAAGAAAAGTATTTGATCGATAAAGAAAAATAGAAGAAAATCTTATTGATCTTGAGAATGTTTTACATTCGAGAGAGTGATTATATATCAGAAAATATAACAAAATAGTTCAATAAAATGAAAACACCTCAGCTTCTAGAATATATCTAGCTCATTTTATAAAATAACAAACTTCCTATGTGAGCATTGTGATGATGGAATGATATAAAAAACCAGAAGAAAATATAACATAAACTAAAAACATAGAAATAACATCCCCCTCTCAAGTTGGTGTTTGATGAGGCTCAAGCGATCCCAACTTGGAAGTGATGACATTGAATTGAGGTGAGCTAAGAGACTTAGTGAAAATATCAGTAAGTTGTATATGCAAGTTGTATATGACTAGAAATGTATTGCGGCAAAATAAATCCATCTTTATATTTTTTACGAGCAATATGACAATCAATCTCAATGTACTTTATTTTTTCATGGAACACAGAGTTGGCGGTGATATGCATGGCGAATTTATTGTCACACACAAGGGAATGGGAAGTTGGAGATGTAATTGAAGATTAGAGAAAAGATAAGAGAGCCACATAAGTTAACAAATAGTATTGGCCATGCTGCGTTATTCAGCTTCACAAGAAGACCGATAAATGATGTCTTGTTTCTTTATTTTATAGAAAATAAGTGAAGAGCCCAAAAAAATGCAATAGCCAGTTAAGCTGCGTCTGGTTTTGCAATAAGAGGCCCAATCACTATCTGAGCAAGCAACCAGTTGAAGATTATTTGAGGATAGATAAAATAATCCAGTGGAAGGAGCGCCCTTGAGGTATCTGCAAACGTGAAGAGCAACATCCCATTGAATGCATGTTGGTGATTCTGTAAACTGGTTAAGTTAATTAACTGCATAACTGATATCTGACCTTGTAAAATTCAAATACAATAATTGACCAATAAGACGATGATACTGCTTAGGATCAGGAAAAGGATCTGACTCGGTGTAAATTTTGAAGTTCTTAGGTAGAGGAGTAAGAGCTGGTCTGGATCCAGTTAAACTAATATCAGCAAGGATATCGATAACATATTTTCGCTGTGTGATGTACATGCCTTTTTCAGAGCGTGCTAGTTTGAGGCTCAAAAAATACTTTGCTTCACCAAGATCTTTTATAGTAAAGATATCATGTAGAAACTGCTTTATTGCTGAAATAGCAGACTCAGAACTTCCAGTTATAAAGACATCACCAACATAAATTAATAAAACTAAGAATGTACCAGAAGATTGCTTTATAAATAAGCAGTGATCGTATTCTGATTCAATGAAACCAAACTGTAGCAGTTTCTCAATCAAAATAGTGTTCCATTGTCGTGAAATTTGTTTGAGACCATACAAAGACTTTTTTAGCCTGCAAACTTAAGACAAACTTTCTTCATCAAGAGTGCCATGAAGGAATACATAATATCCAGCTAGTGAAGAAACCAATTTTTAGCAGCAGCAAGTGTAAAGAAGAACCTGATTGTGACTGTTTTAGCTATTGGGGAGAAACTTTCAAAAGAATATATATCCTCTGTTTGATTGTATCATTTGGCTACTAAACAAGCCTTGAAACGTTCTACTTTACCATCTAAAAGAAATTTAACTTTATATACCCATTTTGTCCCAATAACATGTTTATCAGCAGGAAAAGTTGTAAGTTCTCAAGTATCATTAGCTTCGAGGGCATCAATCTCCCTTTGCATAGCAGCAACCTATTATTTATGTTTGATGGCTTATTTATAAGAGTATGGTTATACAATATTAGTAATATTTGTAAGAAAATTTATGTACGAAGACGAAAAATTGGAAGAAACTTGATATGGATAAGTTGGAGGTGTGAGGCTTTCGATCGGCGAACTTGGAGGCTACTTGTGCAATGCAGTCGGTATACTATTTGTGATGGTAGAATGGCAAATAAAATATTTCATCCAAGCAGGTTTGGTTCTGTGTCTGATGTTGGTTACAGGTGGTTGAACGAAATTATGGAGATGTGGAGAAGATAAAGTGTTTTGAGGAGATTGTGAAGACTTTGGATGAAAATCATGCGTCGAAGTAGTACCATGAACAGGAGAGGAATTAGGATCAAAAAAAGGGGCATCAGCTGAAATATCAATCTTGAGCAAAGGAATTTCTTTTTAGTCATAACGAATTGAATGAAATGGGAATGAGTTTTCATCAAAAATAACATTTCGGAAAAAATGGAACTGATAATGTTGTATGTCATAGACTTTATAAGCTTTCTTGTGCGCTAAATACCCCAAAAAAATGCATTTAAAAAGGATCTAGTGTCCAGCTTATCTCTAGAGAGCAAATTGTTAGATATAAAATATAAACCCAAAAGTTTTAAGTTGGTTATAATCTAGTTTACAACCATATATAATCTCGAACGGGGTTCTCCATTGTAGGATTGAGCTGGGAAATTTGTTTATGATATAAGTGGCTGTCAAAATGACATCCCTCCAAAAATGTTTAGGCAAATTGGATTGAAATAATAAGGCCCGGGCTATCTCTAATAATTGTTTATGTTTTCTCTCTCTATAATCCCATTTTGTTGGGGGGTGTAAGAACATAAGGTTTGATGAGCAATACCCAAAGAAGTAAACATTTTCTTACATTGCTGATTTACAAATTCAGTCCCATTGTTAGACCGAACTGTTTTTATTGGGTACTGAAATTGTGTTTGGATCATTTGAAGGTGCTAAAAGTGATTTTGGGTTTGAGATTTATGATGTAGTAGGAAAGTTCAAATTCCCCTTGCTGAAATCATCAAGGTAGAGTTAAAATATACTGAGC